TTCCTTCCTTCCTTCCTTCCTTCCTTCCTTCCTTCCTTCCTTCCCTCCTTCCTTCCTCCCCTCCTTCCTTCCTTCCTCCCCTCCCCTCCCCTCCCCTCCCCTCCTATTTCTTTCTCTTTCTCTTGTTTTATTTTATTATTATGAAACATAAGTAGTACATTATATTATTTAGGTATAATGGTGTTTATACAGTGTTGACTAGAGATTATTAACACACTGATGTTTAGATAACTTAAACTTTTAAAGATAAAGAAAAAAGAAAGTTTGCATTAATATTGACTGATTTCTAAAATGTTAAGGTTGATAAACATAAGAATGCTTAGATTTTACATCTAAAGCTGGATGTGGCATTAATAAACAACTGCAAAATACATTACATTATTATATAATAAAAGTTTCTATCTTGTACCTACTTTCTCAAAAGGAAAGCACTGCACTAGGATGTAGTTCTAAGCTATAAAATGTCTTCTTTGTAGCATCTTATTCATAATTTATATGTGAGGCTCTAACAGATTGAAACGATAATAAATACTTGCCTTCTTAAATACGCTTCCTAGCTAATATAAATGTTTATGTGTGTGCATGTTTGTCTTCATATTGTCAGGCCATGAACATAGTGACATCAGTACTACTTCTATATTGTAATGAAGAAGAAGCTTTCTGGCTCCTTGTGGCCCTGTGTGAGAGAATGCTGCCAGATTACTATAACACTAGAGTGGTTGGTAAGTCACCTTGAAAGCTAGGATTAATTGGTGTGAAGGAATCTGAAGCACTGAGAGTGAGATCTTTAGTTGCAAAATAGTTGGATAGTTGACTTTAGAACAAGTAGATGTATGTGAAAATATTAGCTTAATTAATTGATTCTGTATAATTACAATATTAGAATTGCACAGTTGGAATTAATTAATCACCATCTTTTCATTTTAGCGCTTCTAAAGTCAGGATAAAACCATGTAACTAAATCATTGTACCTTATTCAGTCTTCTTAAAAATTTTCAAGTGTTGAATTCCTCAAATTTTCCTAGCGAGTTTATTTGTTGAGTTTCTCTTGTGATTCTCTCAGATTTTATTAATGTATTGAGTTTCTACAGTTTTTATATCAACCCTATTTAATACTGTTCTTAATTAAAATAATAGGTAAATCTCTTTCCTGAAATCTGTAGATATTTCAAAACTATCAATATATTTCCACATCCTTCTTAGCTCTACATATCACTTCTTCCTGAACTGTTCTCATCCTTGTATTCTCTTCTGAATTCTTTTGAGCTTTACCGTAGCATTCTTTGCAGAATATAAGCCTTCCTGATGAGTTTTTGATCAGCACTGAATTGAGAAGTATTGTTGCTTCCCAAGTCTGGAAAAGATCCCATTTTTTCAAAATAATTAAGGAGCTAGAATGATTATAACTTGGTGCCAGGGAATCTTAAGAGTCTGCCAAGAAGTAGCAGACAATGTCAATAGCATTGGAAGAGTATAGTATGAGAAGTAACATTATAAGTATTCAGGTGCAAGAAGTATATTGAAGCTTCAGAAATGAAACCTAAATATAGAATCCTAATAATTTTATGGGAAAGGGGTTACTTTATTGTGGACAAATTCAGTACAGAATCTGCAAATTCAGGTTGCAACTTGCTGTCAAATACATGGCAGTACAGAAGTTTGAAAAACAGCCTAAATCAGAAATCTCAGAAGCAAATGAATGTTTATCACTCTGTTTCTATTTCAGGAGATAATTTCCAATTACCTGTAGTGAAATAGCTATTGCAACTTAAAATGTGCAGTAGGATTTAATAACTAATGCTAATCACTTCCTTGAGTACAGTAATATTTAGTGAAGCCAGTTGGCCAGTCCAGTGCTGACTGTGCATACGTAAGCTCTTCATTTGTGATAGAATCTTATTTCACTCTCTCACTCACACAATGATACAGATAACACTGCCCCTCTTTTTTCTGTCTCTGTTGCCCATTTAGGTGCGCTAGTAGACCAAGGCATCTTTGAGGAGCTAACACGGGATTACCTTCCCCAGCTGTCTGAGAAGATGCAAGATTTAGGGGTCATTTCCAGCATATCACTATCTTGGTTCCTCACACTTTTCCTTAGTGTCATGCCTTTTGCAAGTGCAGTGGTCATTGTTGACTGTTTCTTCTATGAAGGCATAAAGGTCATCTTGCAGGTATCCCTGGCCATCCTGGAGGCCAACATGGACAAGCTGTTAAATTGCTGTGATGAAGGTGAAGCCATGACTGTCTTGGGCAGGTAGCTTTGTTTTTAGTTTCTGAATTAAATGAATGGCAGTGCCTTTGGATTTATTATAATTATTGTTCATATTTCTTTCTTGGTTCTTTCTGAAGTTTCTTGCTTCTCATTGTGAATTCCTTAATAGACTGGAGCTGCTTATGTTAGAAGACTAATAAAAATCAGGCTGCTCAAAGTCAGTCACTTTGATTTAGCATGTAGGTATGAGATTTATATCCTGCCTTTTGTTCAGGAACCTCAAGGCACCATACGTAGTACTCCCCACAACAACACGCCTCTGAAGTAGGTTGGGTTAAGAGAGAGTGAATAGTGCAAAGTCATCAGGTGAGTTTCCAGAGTTGAGAGTGGACTTGAACCTGGGTCTCCCCATTGCCAGATCAGTATCTTAATGACTACATGACACTGGCTATAGCATGTTATCCAATGTGTTAACATAAATTGTTGTGCCTAGAAAGATCACTTGTAGTTACAGAATTCCTTTGATCTAATTTCATGGCATTCTAATTGACAATTCCCAGCTCAACTTTTTGGGTAATGTGACTTGAAAAATCTAGTTTGTGTGGGAGAGGTTAGTGAATTCTCATCAGCCAGGGATAGGTAAAGCCAGTAGCAAGATGAATGTATGGAGTGCTGAATTTGATTATATTGTGAAGGAGGATTTTTCAAGAAAGGTTGTTCTGAAGTAGTAATTCTGTTCTGGTGGAAACGTGATTAAAAAGAACCCTCGAACAATTAGCCATTGCATAAAATAATTGAGTATCAGTGATTTTTCCCCCCATTAGTCAACTGGGAATCAGCTGAGCTTCCTTTGCCCCCTTAATTTAAATTGGTGACTCTCCAGACAAAAATAAGATAGAGGCAGGTCAGTTCCATTGGTCTGTTGAAATGAATTACCTCTGAGCCCCTCTCTTTCCAGAGCAGATGGGACCTGCAGTTGGTAGAAAGGTGACACTTTGAGGCCACTTCAATTTGCATGCTTGTTCATTTGTATTTTATGCTAAGATTACATCCAGAGAGATAGTTTAATGTGCTTCCCTTCAATCTGTCAGGTGGCACAGAAGGATGCCATCATAAATTTGGTCTATCCCCCAAACTGATCTCTGCTCTGCCTTATTAATGAGGCTGACAGTTCAATGTGGACCAAGTTAAAGTGCAGCAAATGGTGGCTATGTTTCCTCTCCTGTCTATGTTCCCACTCCTACCTGCTAGGGAGGGAGAAGAAACACCAGTCACTTGTCTTAATACAGTGGTGAGATGGGGTTCTACTAGAAGTAATTGTAGCTGAACAGTTCAACAATCTGTGTATACTCAGGGTGCACCTGCATCACTGAATACAGTGGTTGGGAACTCAGCTAGCACTCTGCCCATTCAGTCTCTCATTGTGAGATTTATCCTCAGCCACACTCAGCCCCATTTTTTCCTAGATTTCTTTTCATGAGAGTGATCTTCATGGTAGTTCTGGTGTCTGTGACCAGTGAGTCAGTGAAATAAACAAAATGACTCCCCTTTATCAAGTTCAGAACTGCCAAAAAGCAATGGACAAGCTGTAAAAAAGAACAAGAGAGCTCATTTTGTTTAAGAAAAGTGAGGGTAGTTTATCCTAGAAATACTTCACTTGGAACACAAATTGCTTTCCCCCCCCCTCTTTGACAGATTACTGATAGCAGGATTACTATGAGAATTGGTCTTCACCGCTGCTCCCAGTGCTTGCACAGGACAGTGTTGAAGAAAATGTTTGTGCAGTCCAGCTGTTAGCCAACACGTCGTTCATAAAGCACCAGTGGAGGAGCACGTGAGCAGCCTGCATTTGTGTGGTCTCAGAAGCAAGGGAAATTGTGGGTGGAGTAGAGAAAGCAATCTGGATCTCCTGCAAGCAGGAACAACACCCACCAGTCAGTCTCTTTAAGTTGGGCTGGGGGACCAGCATGTTTTGGCAGATGGCTAAAACCATGGGTTTAGCCATCTTCAAATCGTATCCACAGAGTAGGGGCGTTCTGCTTTTCCTGCTTTACTGCAAAGCCCCTGTTCATCCCATAGATAAGGTGCTGAAGTTCCACCCACCACATGTATGATCTGCAGGTGACCTCAATCATTCTCTCTTGCACACTCCTGTCACTCTCTCGCTTGTCTGGCTCTCTTGCCGTCTTTCTCACTTGTTCTCACTCATCTGCTACTCTCACTTGGTCAGTTGCCTTTCTTGCTCACTCAGCTTTGTCTCTTGCTCTCTTTTGTCTTCTTCACTCACACTTGCTTGCTTGCTCCTCTGCATGCTTCCTCTAATAGCTGATGGAGGTGGGGACTTCCCATCTTAAAGTGACACCCTGTTTCAGCCAGCACCACTCTGTTGTGCAAAGTATCTGCCAGTCAGACATTTTAATATTTTTACATGTGTAAATAAGAAGTCCATGTAATCTAAATAGTGCATTGTGCCCAATATCTCCTACTGCTCAAGCCAAAATAGCTGTAGAAAAAAGTCACCAGCAGCTAGGGGAATGCACCATGTCTGCAGCAGCCAAAAATGGCCAACAGGAGCTGGACAGATTTCAGGTTCCGCTATGTCATTACTGCGGTCACCACCAAGGTGTCACAAATTTTGCACAATTCTGCTTGTGTCAGGAGAAAATGGATAACACTGTTTTATTATCAGAGCAGATAAATACAAAGGTAGGTGGCCTCAACTACAGGCTGAGAATGAGAGGAGGGCCACATCAAAAAAATATGTCCTTAAAAACAATTAGCAAGGCACCTTTGAGTCACAATCATGGGGATGTGTGGGCTTATATATAATTATTACATATTTTCCTGTGATTTATCAGAGCCTGCAATGCTTCAGTATATACAGTACATTAAATTGCACAATATAGAATTACATTATAATTAATATGTAATTTAATATAGTGTATGGATGAATCAAATGTCTTGAATCATAAATTTTATCTTAATTGTTTTAGTTTTAAAATAAATTCATGTTATCATGAAAGCTGACTCTAGCATATATTTTATTAAATAAATTATATAGACTCTCCTGACCATAATTTTCAGTTTATGTACTAATCCAAAATTCTCTGTTGATTTTTGATTTTCTGTAGGTACCTGGATAATGTAATTAATCGGCAGAATATTTTCTCACGTATTCCTCACCTCCACGCTTCATTGACGAGTGGGGATGATCCATCAGTGGAAATTGATATATTTGAACTTATAAGAACAGCCTATGAGGTCAAGAGATAACATAAATCTTACATTTTTACTCTGATATTTTTTTTAATGAATTACTGTATGTACTAGCTTTGTATTCTCTATTAATCAAAGATATGTCTTTAATATAAGCATTCACAGATTCAGGGTATGGGGGTCAACTGTCTCTTTTATGATGAATACAATAGATAAGGCATTTAGCTATAGTCATTATTCCTCTCTAACCCATTTTTCTTTTAAAACTAATTAGTTTGGGTTCTTGGCTCCCTCAAATTCATAGCCTTATAATAGCAAATCCTGTGTTATGTTTTCATGTGATTCTTACAATTGCTAACATACAGTATCTTCTCCCTCTTCCCTTTCCACTAGAACTTCCAGATCTGAACTACAAAATGCAGATGAGTGCTAGAGAGTAGCAGAGATATCGAAGCTCTGCCTCTTTATTATCATCTAGTAGCTCCCCTTATTTTTGTAGTACAAATCTAGTAATTGTTTTCCTTGTTTTGGTGCCCATGGCTTCCAAACATGACTAGAGAGCTATGATTGGCCACCATCACTTCTGCAAGCATTGTTTCCTCATCAGTAAAATAATTGCTAAGTAAAACTTGAAGTATTTCATCAAATGAATGTGATTTTTTCAAATGTGCGGTATTTTCTGTGGATTTAGTTATAAACCTAGTCTTCCACTACAGAAATTCAGCCACTTGAAAACAGATGATATTGAACAAATGCGTTTTAAACAAAGACTGAAGGTAATCCATTCTTTAGAAGACACTGCTAAGAGAAGTGTGGTGAGTAGTACTCACATTTTATAAGCATGTGTTAAGTTACTGATTTTGTTTCTCCTACTTGGAATCTTTGAGGCTAGGCTAAGCTAAACAATTTAAAGAAATAAATTAGACAAATAACTAATTGGCATGTTAATCTTTATTTTCTAGAGCAAGGTATGTGTAGTGTGATAGTGTAATGGTATATCGCTAGTTTGAATGTTGATTAGAAGTATTATCAGTCTCCATTTTGAGACTGACATTAAGCTGCAGACTTCACGACCACATTTGCCCCAGTTCTATAATTTTTTTTCCCTTTGTCCCACATTCCCTGCTTTTCCTGTTACCAGCCCTGATTAATTGTTCTGGCAAATTAGAAAGCTTTACGTGTGGCATTTTGGTTGATTCTGATACAGGTATCAGCCAACTGGGATGTTGCTGTTTTCCTCATAGAGCAACATTGTGATTTCTTTTTAACTTTTAACCCATAACAGGTTGAGCTGAAAACATTCCAGTCTTTTTTATGAAAGTACCTTGGCAGACTTGCCACAGAATCTTAACTAGCTAATTTTCTGTCTTATTTTCTCCTACTGAAAATGTAATAGGAAATAAATAGTGACCTTTCCATTCTCTGAGTTGCTATGTCTGGGAATCTCAAGGGAAGGGTTGCTCTCCATTTTCTTGCTGCTGTTTTTGTCTGTTGCTTGTGGTATCCCTTCCCTCCAGATAGCATCAGATGTCTAGCAAATGTCTCTAATGCCCTTGTAGATGTTTGACAAGGAGCACATTAAGGAGAAAAAAGCTGAGAGGAAGAAAAAAATCGACCCATTTCCTGTTCCTGCTTCCAATTATAGTGCACTGAGAGCAGGAAATACATATAATACCTTTGACCAGCCTTTTTGTGCTTATTGACTCAGTTCAAGAGAATAGAGCTGTTCTCTTTTAGCTGTCATTCAGTTTTTAGATTCCTCTGGTCTTACAGGTCAGTATCTCCCAAATACAGACTTTAACATTCTGTTCAAAATTATTAGATGCTCCTTCCTTTTTCCAGTTCACAAATTTCAAAAGTCATTTTGCTGTACTTCTAAAAATATAGCTTCCTCCTTTCATTGAATCTAACTTTTTCCAGATTCCCAGCTGACACAATTAAGATACATTTGTTTCTGTGATTTCTGTAGGTCCGAGCTGTATCTGGTGACATTGGCTTTTCTATGCAAGAATTAGAAGATCTTTATGTAGTATTTAAGGTGAGAGACCTTGATAAAACAGTATCCTCTTTATTATTGCTGCAGGTAGCAGATAAAGTGTGTCTGTGAAAACTCCTTTAAATTACAGAATTGCCAGGGTCCAAGTTGGTGGTGTATTTCAAAAGACTTTTATGCTCAGATTGTTTGGGTTTATTTTTGCAGCTGAGAAAATATAGGAAAATACAACAGAATTAGACGAGATCTTATTTTGTTAGACTGATTCAGTTTTATTTTTTGTTTTGTTTCGTTACATGCTGTGATTCTAAACAAGTGCATAAGATTTATTTAGTTTATGTTTTGAGAAAAGAGCAGTGTTTCAGCCTATCTCCAATCAGAGATGTAATTTCTGAGGGACTGGGGACAAAATATTTTGCCCTGGCTTCTTTCTCTGTGTTTTGTTTGATTTTGCTTTCTTAATACTTGCAGTAGTAATGCCATATGATATCAGGACTTTCTAGATTTAGCTTTAAAATGTTAATGCTGTCATATTATCATGATTTTGAAAGGCAACATGGTATTTGTCATACAATTTAAAAATAAAAATAATTTAAAAGGAGCTGCTTTTGCCCCTGCCACAATAGCAAGTACAGGAGGTCCTCAGTTAATGATCATTCATTCAGTGACCGTTAGACATTATGTGATCATGATTTGGGCACTTGGCAACCAGCTCACAGTTACGTCGCAGCATCCTGTGGTCACATGATCGCCGTTTGTGTCCTTCGCTACTGGCTTCCAACAAGCAAAGTCAATGGGGAAGCTGGCAGGAGGTCACAAATGGTGTTCATGTGACGTTGCACTTACCAACCGTGTGGGATTCACTTAACAACTGCAACTGGAACTACTGAAACTGCTGTTGTAAGTCAGCGCAGTCACATGACATCATGCTTTATGACTGCGTCGCTTAGTGACAGAGTTTCCGGTCCCAATTACCATAGATAACTAAGGACTACCTGTACATTCATCTTGTTTTAAAAACAGTTTAAAAGAGAAAGAGGAAATTGCCACTATTACTACAGAAAGGTACAGTGGTACCTCGGTTCACGAACTTAATTTGTTCCGCGACTCTGGTCGCGACCCGAATTGGTTGCAACCCGAAGCAAATTTCCCCATAAGGTTCAATGTAAATACGGTTAATCCGTTCTGACCCCTACGAATTTGCTCGCCAACTGATTTTGGTCGCCTCCCGAATCAAATTTCCCCATAAGGTTCAATGTAAATACGGTTAATCCGTTCTGACCCCTACGAATTTGCTCGCCAACTGATTTTGGTCGCCTCCCGAATCAAATTTCCCCATAAGGTTCAATGTAATTACGGTTTCTGAACCATATGTATTTTTTTTTTAAAACCGCAAAAATATGAAACAAAATACAATACGAAGAGAGAGAACACTAACCTTGCTCGACGTGACTTCTGGCATGGAGGATAGGAAGGCGGGTGGGGAGGCGGTTATTGCTTGGAGGGAGAGTCCCCCTCCCTCAGGAAGCCACGACCACGTGTCACGGCAGGGAAAATGGCCGCGGATCCTGTTTGTCACCCGATCCGGCGTTCGCGAATGGAGGCAAAATTTTGCGAATGGAGCTGTTCGTGACCCGTATTGGTCGTGAACAGAAGCGTTCGTGACCCGAGGTACCACTGTATTTGAAATGTTTCTGTGCACCCACCTCCCTGATATAGCCTTTGTTATGTATGTCCCATCTGTAAGTGATAGCAAACTGCTGCAGCTGTTTTGATTCAGCCTGAGCTTGATTCCTTAGTTCAGTCTTCCCATATCTGATATCCTCCTTATATATTGGACTAATTTTAGTGAAACATAAGCATTCTTAGCACTATAGAATTAGCAATGTCCCATTGCTAATGGGAGTTTGAAGACTATGATGATTTCAACCAAGATCTTTCAAATTATCACAACTGAATGTAGAAAAGTAGTAGAGTGTTCATTACAATGTTAGAACTAACTTTTCAGGTAACTGTGACATTTCAAAGGCTGTAGAACTACCAAAAAACCCTATTTGTTTCCAAACTGTCCCATTCAGATTGTTGAACAATTTCTGTCTGAATCTGTGTGCAAATTGATTGGATTCCTTATAATTATACTTTTCATTGTAGTCTTGTATGTTTCAGAACTGATTAAACGCCATGCCTAAACCTTTAAGATATGTCTTCAATGCTGACAGATTGAAAAAAGTGTCATTCTCTCTCTCTCTCAGCCCAACCTGGCTCACAGGGTTGTTGTGGGGAAAATAGGAAAAGGGAGCTTTTGTATGTCACTTTGAGTTGTACAAAATAAAGGCAGGATACAAATCTAATAAATAAATCATTTCTTCTGTTTATAGGCAAAACACTTCATGAGCTGTTACTGGGGAAATCGCACTTCAGCTGCTCAAAGAGACCAGAGCCTACCCTACTTAGAGCAGTACCGCATCAACATCGAGCAGTTCAAAGACTTGTTTGCTTCTCTTACGCCTTGGTCTTGTGGACTCCACACATCAGTGCTAGCAGAAAGGATGTTCCGACTTCTGGATGAAAACAAAGATGCGCTTATTAACTTTAAAGAGTTTGCAACAGGCATGAGTAAGTAGCTTTTCTGGAATAGTGTCTTGTCTTATATGTTAATCACTGGTGAAAAGTAATACCACACTAGAGTTGTGCAGCTGTTTGGATTTGAAGTGGAAAAGGTCTTGGAGCTGGGATTGAGCTCAGGCTGTCCTTATCAGTGGCTACAGTCCCTACAGAACACAGAGAGAGAGAGACAGAAAACTCTTTCTTGCCACCCAGTGGTTACCTGGTTCAGATATAGCAGCCCCAAACAAAACTGCAAATTTGACATCTTCAGAAGAAATTTGGTTCAAAACACATTATCATTATTAGAGTGATTCATTTTCTGCTCAGGGTGGATAAAAATCATAAATGATCCACTCAGAAATCCAACTAAAGCTACTTAAGGCTTTATGTCATTGCTTCATTAACATCTTTTGAACATACAGCTAGTCGATGGCTGGTGTGGGTCTTCCGGGCTGTTTGGCCGTGTTCTGGAATTTTTTTTTCCTTATGTTTCGCCAGCACCTGTGACCGGCATCTTCAGAGTGCAGGAGCACAGACAGGAGTAGTTACACACAGATTCTGACACCAAAACAAGCAGCCACTCAGTAACCCA